ATTATTGATGGGAATTTGGATCACTTAGCAGGAATAAAATTCACCTATCTATAGATTTTTATGCCACTGGCCTCTCCCACCATAATATGCTAGAAGTATGGGAACAAACTAGATATGCAGACAGAATAGAGTATAGATTGATATATAGAGAATCTGTTGGCAAAAAAATTAACTTGAAAGTCCTGCATAACTTATATTTTACCACCCTCAAAACAATATTAAGAAATTCAATAAGAGCACATTTATTTAAAAAATAAATATTAGTTGCTTCATTGTGGGGATATTCCTTTCATAAAAAAGAAACAAAATAATTTTAACTTTCATTTTGTATTTTTGTTTTATATAAACCCCATTTAGTAGAAAATTTTCTTAGAGATCTGATGTATAACATGAGAACCATGGCTAATAGGATTATACTATACTAGGACTTGTGTTAAATAAGTGAATTTTAGCTGCTGATGACACAAAATGTATCACTGAACTGATAGCTGTGTTAGTTTGTTTTTCTATAGTGACCATTTTACTATCTATCTATAGCTATCTGTTCATCTATCTTTCTATCATAACATCAGATTGTACTCTCAAATATGCATAGTAAAATGTATTTAGAAGAAACATTTTATAGTATTTATCAAATATTTATAATATTTAATTTATAATATTTACTTATAAATATTTCGTTATAATATTTATCTATCAAATATTATAGCAGCTATACCCAATTTTATTATTTATTACCCAAATTTACAACCTAAATTTATTATTTATCTATAAAATTTATATTAATTTAAAAATAATTGTATTTATAATATTTATCATTTTATATATTTAACAAGCATATTATTTATATTGATTTTCTTCCTGCTCTCTGTTTATTATGATGAGCTGATTATTCTTTGGTCACAGTCAACTTCTTGGCACAATGAAAAACAGAATGAAATTGGTTTATGTTTCTGTTTTCTACCATTCTGAACTCAAGTCAGATCTTATGTTAGGGAGGTGAGTGAAGGGAGGAATCTTAACCTAAATTTAATGATACGCATGTTGACTATATGGACACTCAGCAAGTTTCACCTTATAATTGGGAGAAAAGAATTATAAGGGTCAGTCCAGTTCTTTAACTTACTGACAAAAGCATTTGCTTCAGGAAGCGGTAGGAGTAGATGGAGCACCTGACCGAGTCTCTGTGAAGTTGATAAGATAGTGTCATCCATGGGGTCTGAAGCATTAAAAACACTTAGTAAATTCTGTGCAGTGAGTTGGCTCCTGGGGCGATAGTACAGTTAGCATGGAACACATGGTTATGGCAGTGAGCTTAATTTTGCAGGCAAAGACCCAGTATGAAGCAGTCCTGTGGTTGTGAAATGAATGTGTGCAAAGATTATGTCTCTGATATGTTTTTATTGCTGTGATCTAAATATTGGGATATTTATTTTGGTCATAAAATGGAATATATTGCGTCTAAGGGTTGAGATTATAAAATACTCTGTCATGATGGTCTAAAATGTTAAACCTCTTAGGTTTATGAGCAATAGGAAGTACTATAGTTCTTTATCCAAGTGAAAAATGAATTGAAAGAATGTTTTACTTTGTTCATTGGAGCTAAAATGGGAGAACATAGAGTGAATTCCATGCTCTTTAATACCAAAGTCGACTTAATACGAGTTGATGGTTAACTAAATTATGTAAACTATTGATTTGCAGTTAGAGTTCTCTCTGTGTAAGTGAGCACATGATCCCCAGTGAGCATTTGACACATTGTCACACCTTAATGTCTCTGCTCCATCGCACTCTTGTAGAACCACTGGCACCACACTTCACAAAACCTCCATGTGAAGGAATGTGTTTTTATTTTTTAAAAGTAAGGACTTTATTTAGGAACTCCTACAAATCTATAATAACAGTGAAGGTTTTTACACTACTCTTGTCCCAAGACTTTATAAATATATAATGTTGAGCAGATGTTTCCATATTTATCCTGTATTTGGCTGGAGAAGCCTGTTGGAATGGCTAGTTTTAACTCCGTTATTTATTAAATGGTGCAAAATGTTTTAGGCGTTCTTTATATGCTTGGCACTAACTGATGTTTCTCATTTAAAATCAATTTTTTACTCTTAAGTAAGTGATACTGTGGCATCAAGCCACCATAGGTGTGAACTTAGTGTACTTGTGTGGAATACTTCTTAAGAGTACTAATTTTATTTATGCCTAATAAAACAACATAAAAGAGTTGCATATGAGAGTATAAACAGTTAAAGATCTGCATATTTTTGAAAATCCAGTTAAAATTCATAAAGTTGTACAGAATACTTACCATTAAGTCTGGCTTTACTCAACTATATTAAAATATTGCTAGACAACGAGAAATTACTTATTTAGTGATTAAATAGTTGATGTGATATTTTAAAAGATTCATTTGTGCAAAGGACATTTAAAATGTATTGTTTCACATAGTTCAAACATTTTCTTCACATTCTTTTTTTCATATTTTTTACTGGTGCATTATAGTTGTACATAGTGGTGGGATTTGTTACAAATGCACACAACATAGGAATTTAATTTGGCCAGTATCATTTTCCATTGTTACCGATTTCTCTCCCCTCCTCCCTCCCCATGGTTCCTTCCTTCTCCTCTACTGATTTACCTTTGATTTTCATGATTCGCATTCTTTTTTGTAACACAAAAGTCTGCCTTCAATGCAAACTGTATTAAGGTGTCATTATCTGAAAATTTTAATCTGTCATCTTTTAAAGCATATACACACTGGGTGCTTAAGATCTAAATAACAACTTTAACGGTTTAATACTGAACAAATTTCTTCTTTTTTTCTATTATTTTTTATTTGTTATTTTTAGATACACATGACAGTAGAATGTATTTTGACATATTATGCATACATGGAGTATAAATTATTCTAATTAGGATCCAATTCTTATGGTTGAACATGATGTGGAGTTACACTGGCCATGTATTCATATATGAGCATGGAAAAGTTATGTCTGATTCATTCTACCATCTTTCTTATTCCAATTTCCCCTTCCTTCCCCTCATTCCCTTTTGTCTAATCCAATGAACTTCTATTCTTCCCTCCTCCTCTCCTTTTTAATTGTATTTTTAAGAAAATCCGATGATTTAATCATTTTCTTGAATTTGGTAATTAGGTATAGCTGTGATAGCTATCCAGAAAGAGCCTGTATTCATTTTATATTTTTATAGTACATTGGAGTCAGGCATTGATCTCACTTACCTACATTACAGAGATATTTTCTCATTCATTTGAATACCCATATGCCTTAGCTTACATAGTTAAAAGTTGAATGTATAAGGTGGAATGGATGGAAATAAACAAAATGAGCTGTAGTGTGTGAAAAATAAGTAGGAAGGACATATAGATAGGGTAAGAATAATGCAAACCTACACAAATAGCATTTTAATGAGACAATTTAGTGAAGATGTGGTAGGATACAGAAAGAACTTTTCTTTTTTGTTTTTATTTTAATGAAAGAGAAAAGTAAATATAGTATATGTCTTTTATTACATGAAAGTCCTTTGGTCTTTGGTTTTTTTAATTTAAAGAAATTTAATAAACTTCCATAGAGTTTCCATTGAGAATTCATATAGTATCTACTTATCAATCTTGATGCATAATCTTGATGCACAGCCATATGATTCTGATCTCTCCTGAATAGAATTTTTTTCCTTTTCTGATTTAACAGTAAATGCTAGATATTGAGGCCTCCAAGCATGGAGAGGAACTGCCTCTTTTCTTGCAATAGGAACATACCATGGAGGGGAACTGCCTCTTTTCTTGGAACAGGAACATACCAGGAGAAAACAGTGTTTTCCCCCCTTAAAGATGGCAAATTGGGGAGGCAGAATAGGTTCCATGATAATCGTTCCTTCTGTGTATATCTCAACTTCAGCCTAAGCCTGTGTGGCATGGATTGGGGCTAAACCAAAAACTAATTCTGCAGGAATGTTTCTTCATGCAGGATAGTAAGGCACTGTGTGGTCCTTTATCTTTGTCCTGGCTTGGTGCATCAGAGGCACCTCTGTGTACTGCTGTGTAACCAGACATAGGGTAGCTGTAATGGTAGAACCACTCTCCTAGGAGAGTTGAATACCACGATGATGAGAGTGTGGAGCTTTGCTGGTCTATTTCTGGTGGCGGAGAAGCCCATTGACATTAGTGGTTRGTACCATTTGGCAATTGACAATCCAGGGAATGTTCTGATGATATGTATTATTTGAARTATGCTACTTATAATATTTATATGTGACTCCTGAACTTTCTTCAGAGAGAATACTAATAACAAGAGCTAAATTGACCTAACTCAGGTCACATCCCCTGAAGGATAAAGGTGTACAGGGATGGAAGACTCTTCCTTCCTGGTCCTTCCAGTGAACACTCCTTGCCAAGGCCCTGCCACTCAGGGCTTCCTGAGGTGTGGCTAGGCTCCTGTCCTACTGCCACAGTGGGTAGGGGGTGTCCATTGCTCTTTTATTTTTCTAGAAACAATTTTCTTTCAGACAGATTATGAAGAGGCAGAAGGAATCTTCTCATCTTCTTATTGAATAGAGTGTGTAAGCATCCCCTGCCATATAGAACAATGATCAATCACTTTTTGTATATGGTCTGGTGAAATGGTCTTAATTTTTAATTTTTTTTGTAGTTCACACAAAGATAAATTGTTACATTGCAAAATTACCTTGCAAATGTGATTCCTTATTTTGTTTTAAGGACTTTGTTGCCTTTGTTAAACACGTTGAAGAGTTTGTGTAACCTGTTTCTGTAACTTGAGATTTATCTTTCTTATTGTTAATACAAAGCTGCAAATTTGAAGACTGAGAACCTGTAGAAGGATGATTGCACTTAATGTGAGAACATTCGAATCCTTCTTTGTGTCTATGAATGTGATCAGCCTTTGCTATCGATTTCTTCTGTCATGCACTGCCAAAGCTTCTATTTAAGTATTGTGAAAACTCTTTGTTTTTTTCAGGTCGAATGAGTGATTTGAGTGTAATTGGTCATCCAATAGATTCAGAATCTAAAGAAGATGAACCTTGTAGTGAAGAAACAGATCCAGTGCATGAACTAATTGCTGAAATTTTACCTGATTTACCTGAAATATTTGAAATAGAAATATACCACAGTGAAAATGAAGGGGAAAATGAAGACTGTGAAAATGCTACTGATGTAACCACCACACCTTCTGTGCAGTACATTAATGGGAAGCACCTAGTCACCACTGTGCCCAAGGACCCCGAAGCTGCAGAAGCTAGGCGTGGCCAGTTTGAAAGTGTTGCACCTTCTCAAAATTTCTCAGAGAGCTCTGAAAGTGATACCCAACAATTTGAAGTAGCAGAGACAGAATTGTCTACTGTTGTGCAACCTAATGAATCTAAAGAAACCACTGAATTTCTGGAAATTACATGGAAACCTGACACTTACCCTGAAACACCAGAACAATTTTCAGGTGGTGAGCCTGATATGTTCCCCACAGCCGCATCCCATGAAGGAAAAACCACAGAAGGGGCAGAGTTAATTACAGAGAGAGGTCCTAAACTTGAAAATCTGATGCATGAGCATCCTGAACCTGTATCTCCCTTTTCTGAAGAGTCTTCAGGAGAGTCTGCCATTGACCAAGTATCTCAGAAAATGATCTTTTCAAGGGCCACACAGGTAACTTTAGGTGAAGAGGTGGAAAAAAGTACTTCTGTCACATATACTCCCAGGATGGATCCAAGTTCTGCGGCAATAAATGTTTCAGAGAAAGAATCAGTTACCCTAGCAGAAAATCCACGGCCTGATGGACTTTTCTCTACAATGGAAAGCTGGATAGAAATAACTCCTAGACAAATTGTGGAGCTCTCAGGAAGTTCTGCAATTCCAATCCTGGAAAGCTCTGGGGAAGTGGAAGATTTTAAAGATAACATGTTGAACATGGTAACTGATTTATCAAAAAATACCACAGATACACTCTTTACTTTAGACACTGGCAAGATAATGATCACAGAAAATCTTTTTGATGTTCCTGCGACCACCATTGACACAGTTTCTGAAGAACCTTCCGTAGAAGTCATGCCTACAAAATTCATAAGTGAAACAGAAAATTCCAAGTGGGTTTTCAGTACATCCCTTGAGGGAAAGGAAAGGAAGGAGGAGGAGGAGGGAACAACAGGTACAACATCTACCTTTGAGGTAGAGTCACTGACACAGAGAGCAGATCAATTAATTTTACACCCTGAATTAGGAAGTTCAAATGAACCTACATCTACTGATACAGCTACCAGGAAAAGTTTGATATCCTCGCCAACGCCCACACAATTTTCAGATGAAATGACAAGTTCTACRCTTGTCTTTACAGAGACAAATGTTTTAGTCAATTCGGGGGCACAGCCCTTTGAACACAGCAGTACTAGCCAACCAGGGGACCCAGAAAGGCTGACCACTCTTTCAGGTGGCCCTGTCTCTCTCTCTATTGAGCAGGGCTCTGGAGAAGCTGCTGCTGACCCAGAAACCACAACTGTTTCTTCATTTTCTTTAAATTTAGAACCAGAAATTCAAACCGAAAAGGAAGCTGGCACTTCGTCTCCCCATGTGGAAACAACATTCTCCTCTGAGCCTACAGGACCATTTTTGAGTACTGTAATTGACAGAAAAGTCACTGAAWTTATAAGCCAAACATCCAAGGAAAAATTAATTTCAGAGGTACCAGGAGAACCAAATTATGGGGCAGAAATAAGGGTCATTCCTACAGGTTTTCCTTTGGAAGAAGATTTCAGTGGTGACTTAATGGAATACTCAACAGTATCTCATCCCATAACAAAAGAAGAAACAGTGATGATGGAAGGCTCTGCGGATGAAGCATTTAGGAATACCCAGATTTTATTACCTACCAAACCTACTTCAGATCACAGCAATCACATGCCTAACTCAGAAGCACCCAGTAGCACCATGGTCAGCACATCAGCTTTCCCCTGGGAAGAGTTTACAGCTTCTGCTGAGGGTTCAGGTGAGCAACAGGTCACAGTCAGCAGCTCTGTTGACCTAGTGCTTCCCACAGTTGTGGAAAACATTTTGGATACAGAGTCTCCATTTATTAACCCAGGATTCAGAGAAACGGATGCTATTGATGAAGTGGATAAAAGATCCACAATTTTGCCAACAGCAGAAGCTGAAAGTACTGCAGATCCAACAGGAAAGGGGGAAGTAAAGGTCAATGGCACAGCTTCAATGGACTTTCTGCAAACRATGGAGCCAGCCAGATTATGGTCCAGGCAAAACACCAACCCTGTGAGTCAAGGGATTGAGAGTGAAGCAGAATCAGAGGAAAAGAGTCAAGAACACAAATCTTTAGAATCCTCCCAAAGCTCTCTTGGACCAGAACAAACAACTTTTGATTCACAAACACTTACCGAAATTGAACTCCAGACTACAGATTATCCTACAAAGAAAACTTACAGTGCTGATAAGCAAATTGGCGTTTCCTTGGTTCACATGTCTACTCCAGATCCAGATGTAAAAAGCCTAGAGTCATATACCTCTCTCCCTGAGCCAACTGCAGAGTCACATTTCTTCTTAACTACTGCCTTAGTGACTGAATCTATACCGGCTGAAAATGCAGTCACAAACTTATCAACTAAAGATGAAGAAAGTATAAAGCTCTTTCCCAAAGGTATGAGACCAACAATTCAAGAGTTGGATACTGATCTCTTATCCTCTGGTCTGGGATCAGGAGAAGAAGTTTTGCCTACTCTGCCTACAGTGTCAGTAAAATTTTCTGAAGTGGAACAAATTATTAGCACAGTATATCCCCACACTTCTCAAGTGGCAAGTTTAGAAACAAGTATCTTCAGCGATGGAACTAAAGATGATGAGAGAGTGGAAAATGTGGTGAGTGAAGTTGGACCCCTCATTTCCAAAACAGATGAAGTCTCCAAAAGTAGTGAAGGGGCACCCAATACAACCTTAACAGAAGTCTCAGGCAACACTGGAGCAGCAGGACCCACCACGGCACCTAGCTCTGTCTCCACAGACATTGAACATCCTCAAAGTCAGACCCTCAAATGGGAAGAAGAAATGCAGACTAGTAGACCACAAACTGTAACACAGCAACTCTCCAGTGAGTATTCTTCAACGGCAGAAAATAAAGAAACAGCAAATGCTCCCACTGGTTTTCTTGAAATGGCCCAAGAATTTGTTACACCAGCACCAAAGCTGTCTGAGTTGTTTGATGAAAATTCTGGAGAAGGATCTGGGGAAGTGGATCTCTCTAATTCAATCCACGCTGCTGGAACTACTGAGGCAACGGGGCCAAGAAGCACCACATATGTTTTTGATAGCTTTCTGGAGAAGCATTCTGAAGTGCCAAGTGCTGAAGCTGTAGCTGCTGATGGATCCCCAGCGGTTTCTGTGGTGCTGCCTCTTCGTTCAGAGCAGAATGAAACCTCCCCTGAGACAAGGAGCACCCCGTCAGGCATGGTGTCCCATGAGGCACCCACAGAAAGTGTCTCCGGTAGTTTCCAAGATCATTTCATAGGATTCGAGGATGCCACCTTAAAACCTACCCGGAGAAAAGCCACCGAAAATATTATCCTTGATCTAGACAAAGAGGATAAGGATTTAATATTGACAATTACTGAGAGCACCATTCTTGAAATTCTTCCTGAACTGACATCAGATAAAAATACTATCATAGATATCGATCACACTAAGCCTGTATATGAAGATATCCTTGGAATGCAAACAGACATAGAACCAGAGGTGCCATCAGAACCACGTGGCAGTAATGAAGAAGGCATCCGGGTTCAAGAGCTGGATGTGGCAGCTGCCAACCGTTCTTTAGCTGAGGAGCCATTTGAGAGCTCTGGTGATACTCTTCTGGCTAGTAATACTCAGGCAACATATCACGAATCAATGACTCCTGATACTGGAAACCAATTAGATCACATGGGCTTTAACTTTGCCACTGGGATCCCTATCCCTACCACAGAAACGGAATTAGATATTTTCCTTCCCACAGAAACTTCTCTGCCCATTCCTAGAAGTTCTGCCACAGTTAATCCAGAGATGGAAGAACTGAAAATTGAAGCAAAACCTCTGGATGACATATTTGAATCAAGCACTTTGTCTGACAGTCAAGCTATTGCAGACCAAAGTGAAATGATATCAACGTTGGGTCATTTGGACAAGACACAGGAAGAGTATGAAGAAAAGAAATATATGAGTCCTTCTTTTCAGCCAGAATTCTCTTCAGGGGCTGAGGAAACATTGATAGATCCCACTCCTTATGTAAGTATTGGTAATATCCTCCTTACAGCTCAGAGTTTAACAGAAGCCCCTGAGGTGTTGGAGGGGTCCAGTCCCTCTTATTACACTGATACAACATTAGCAGGTTCAGCATTTGCAAAGTTGTCTTCTCAGACATCATCCTCTCCATTCCCTGCCTACTCAGGCGGAGAAACCTATGAACACACAGAGGTTCCCCAGCCAAGTGCTCTGCCAGGTACAGCTGCTGGCCCATCTCAGAGGTCTACAGAGGATTCTCTCCAGGAAGTTCATGCGGATATTGAAGCAACTGTCAAGGCATCCAATGATGAATACTTTCAGGTAACCCATCCTCCATCCTCATCTCCTGACCCAGCATTAGAACCTTTGGAGGAAGCAAGTAAATCTAATTTATTGGAAGAAAAGGAAGCTTCTCCCACACAACTAATTGCCGAGGAAGGCACTGAGACTTCCCAAGATTTCCAAAACAAAGCCAATGACCAGTTTTCTGGAGAAATAGTTGAGGTGTTKCCCAGTGTGGGGGAACCTGAGGCTGGAACTATTATTACAGCTGCCAGCGAAATTCAGTTAGAAGGTGCTGCACCATGGCCACATTCTACTTCTGCTTCTGCAACTTCCAGGGTTGAGGCAAGTGTGGTGCCTCAGCCCAGCCCACAGACTTTGGAGAGGCCCACAATTCCTTCTTCTTTGGAAATAAACCCTGAAACACAGTCAGCTTTCCCCGGAAGGGAGGGTCCCACAGTAGCAGTATCAGAAAAGCAACTATCGGTGAGAACTCTTGATTCCAATCAGGCAACAGTAAGCACTGTGGAGTTAAATACTGAGCTTGCAACGCCACCATTTTCCCTTCTGGAAACTTCTAATGAAACTGCTTTGTTGATTGGCATTAATGAAGAGTCAGTGGAAGGCACAGCAGTCTTTTTACCAGGTAAGATCACAACATTGACAAATCTGCTTCCAAATCTGGAAACAGTCCCTTGGTTCTAAGATGTATATGTATATCATTTCTATTGGGATGTTAAATTAGGGGTGTTTTCTTGCACTGTTGATGTAACAGCAGGCCATGCCACAGTATTGAGCTCATACAATGGAAGCTCATACAATGAGATACAATGGAAGTAAGTATAGAGTCTTGCTGGGGCTTTACAGATATACTTTGTGCTTTTCTGTGTTTTAAAAACATAGTTGTAACATGGATAAAATGAAATAATGTTATAAAAAAACTCAATGTGTATTTACTCACAACTATTGCTTTTTTATAGGTCCTATAGCTATATACCCTAGTTTTAAAAACAGAAAAAAAGATGCCCCATATCTTTTTTAACTATCTCACTGATGTATACTATATGCTAATTATCAAAATCAGTCAGGCTTTTAACATTTGAGAGTRGTAACTAGCTCTAATAAATATTTCACAGTTTGCTCGATGTCAGTTATAAGTTCATACATCAATGTAATTTCCCTGATGGAGGTAGTCTACATAATGCTTCTAATAGTGCCGAGCCATAGTGGATATGTATTTAGTGTATATTCATGTTCTGCCTGTTAAGAGATTTCTGTTTATTAACTGAATATACCAAAAACATGAATTTAATACTACATCCTATAGATCACTTTGTTTGATGTTACCAAAAAAGTTTTAAGGCACTTATTATCTCCATTGAAAGAGTAGGTCATGGAGATGGTCAGCAGCTTGCCCATGTTGCACAGCCACATCGTGGCAGAATAGAATTTGAATTCATCAGCCCCATTCTAAAATCCACGTTCTTTTTATTGCCCTCTGCTTATTTCCATTTTAGTACAAAAGTGAAGAATTGATGTTTAATGATATGTAAACTAGAAATCTTTGAGCATTACTTAGTATAATTTATTTTCTTCTTAATCTAGGCTGAGAATCTTGAGTAGTCAGCTTTTTCCTAGAATGYTATTATTTAAATAACAATGTCCATCAACCCCATAAGTAACCACACCAGTTAGCTGCTACCTAAACAAAGACCAAAGGCTGTACTTGTGTTGGTTGAAAATAAATGTTTAATTTTAATGAATATGATATATGTCATAACTATTGCTAGAATTATTCTTCTGATATATATCGGTATTATTTTTTGTGTCACTAATGCTTTATCTTGTGCTTTAGAAAGAGTAAAGTAGAAAGTGCAATTTTTTCATAAATGTTTTGGAGTCTTTCTCGAATAAAATTGATCAAAGGTGGCTGACATTGAATTTTTTGCTGTCCCTGTATATTTAATCTGTAACCTATAATTTAATAATCTGGCCAACTTTTATTTTTTGCAATTTATTTGAAACATCTGGTTGTTAAAATATGGTGTAGAGATAATTGACAATAACTGTATAAATATATGGAGAGTTGAGTTTGATAAATGAGTGAGAAATGTGTATCAGTTATCTAGTACACAAAACTTACTGAGAATTGAAGTTTGCGCCTTCATTGCAAAACAAAATTAGTCACTTCAGTTTAATTCAGTCAACAGTGGCTCACATGGAATTGCTTGGTCTTTCTGTTGAAGATTCAACTTTCAGAGGCTAATATGAACTATTTAGGAAAAAATTAAATTCCTGAAAGTCAGACTTTTCTCCTAATGCAAACTTCTTCAAGTTCACAGAAAGACCAACTTTCTCACCAACTCTTTGACTCATGGTCTCAGCATGGTGTTTCATGTTATGGTGGGAGAAGTAGGCCTCTGAATTTGTGAGCTCAATTCAGTCTTACACATAGGTTTTATTTGATTGTACACAAGTGTAAATATGTCACTGGCTGAGGCAGTGTCATCAAGGCCGTGTCCTTTCAACTGCAGAAAGCACAAATTGCTAGGAAGGCTTGTTTTTGGAACTGTAGGAAAAAGTGTCTTGGAAAAAATAGGGTAATTTTTTAAGAAGTCGACGTGCGCATCTGAATTTGCCTAATTCTAATGTGAACTCCAAATAGGAATGTATATCCATCAAGTCATTCTGTTTTTTTTTTTTTGAGTCTACTTAACACTCAGAAAGTTTGAGTTTGACTTTCTTGTGTGGGAATAACTCTTTTACAGCCAATGTTTCATCAGAAGTTGGACATATTTTCATGTGTAATTATTTTAGGGTCTCAGGACTTTTGATTCTCTAAAATATAGTAATATTCCATATACACTCTATTTTATTTCAATTATTGTCTGAAACTTTCAACTCTCATTTGGATTTTTGAACATTTAGAGAATTAAGCAGTTCTGAAAGATTATTTTAAAAAATCAATGTAAACCTTAATTGAAAATAGGCTTCTCCAAGCAATATTGCCACAAAAATATAAGAATCAAATGGTGTAAAAGTTTTGCATTTAGAAAATATATTTTAGATTATTTGTCCTCATAAATTTATGTCCTTGGCCTTTCCATTGATCTCCTAGGAGGGTTGGTTTTAAATATATTTTAACAAGAAAATTGTAATACAAATTGTGGGTTTTATTTTAGGTGAGGTTTTTGTATTGGGGTTTGTTTTTGTACAGTAGAGTTTAATCCATGTGTTGCTTTTCTTCAAGTATAGTTTAAAGGAGTACATTTGGAACGTGTTTTTGGAAAAAGCATATTAATGTAGCAGAAGAGACTTCAGTGCACACTTWCGAAGAAAAACAGTTTCTGAGCATTAAGTGGTAAAAGGCAATAATAATTCAAATGATGGTAACAAGCAGTCTGCTAAAAAGAATGCATGTTCCATGTATCCAGCCATTTCACATGAACTAACCCCGTTCAAAAGAATACATGTTCCATCCACTGTGCACATATGTGTAATCATTTTTGACTAAAATCAATTACCATTATCATGCCAACTAAATCTGCAGTAGACCATATTAGTTGCCAGATAAAGTATAAAAACTCTGTTGAAAAATAATAATTGAATCCTATAAATGAATAGATACAATTTGCCACATTTTGTTATAATGCCAAGAAACACTCCAGAGTAAAGTTAATGTTAATTTTTCTATGTAGTGTTTTTAAACCGCTATGGTAAAGCTTATATTATGGTAGCAATAAGTGGCATTTTATGCTATAATATGTTGAAACCTTAGATATGAGCCTAATTGTTTTTTTTTTCTTATTTTCCTGAACATGGCAGGAACTGACCGGTGCAAAACAAACCCATGCCTTAATGGAGGCACCTGCTATCCTACCGAAACCGCTTATGTATGCACCTGTGTGCCAGGATACAGTGGAGACCAGTGTGAACTTGGTAAGGACTCTTCTTGGCCCAGGCACTGTCSTTCTCTTCCAGAAGCTATATAGTGGGAGAATTTGTATTGTTGAATCCATCAGAAATTTTAGGGAGACCCATGTGTAGATGAACTCTATATGAAATGAAATTAAAATCTCAGAGTAATTAATTGGGATATGGGAATGGGGACAGGGGTTGACTGAATTCTGTTGCTACAATTAAGACTAAGTAACTCCTACTGAGGTCGGTTATTCTTTTTTGTGATTTTTTAAAATGGACTTTATAAATGTAAAGATGCATATATATTGACATTTTCATCTAATCTTTATTTTTGCATTTAAATACATAACCAATTTAATAAAAAATGTTTTTTTAGAAAGCTCTACTTATAATTTAGGATTTGGGATAACTTCCTTAATTCTTAATTAAATTTTTAATGCGATTGCAAAATGCTATGGGAATACAGTCATTACTTTCATTGGGGTAATCACAGAGGTCTATGTAGTAAGGTTGCATTTGCCAGAGATCTTTGAAGGTGGGGAGGATTTGATAGATGGTTCAGGGAGAGATGGACCATACAGACCACAAAGTCCAGAGCCATTTGAGTGGCTGCAAGTATTCAGGTATGCCAATTAAGGGTGGGGGAGGGGGCAGGTATGTTGTGAGAGAATAACAAGCAGGGGGGGGGGGGTCTAGAAGATCCTGATCTCTGAGAATGTCCTGAATTCAAAGACCAAATAGTTTTGATTCATATTCTAGTTGAGTGGCTTTGAAACACTGTCAGGYATCAAATCACCCAGAGGGCTTGGTAAAACACAAATTGCTTTCCCTATCTCACAGCATCCGATTGATTCAGGAGGTCTGAAGTAGGACCTGAACATGCATTTCTAATACTCTCAGGCAATGCTGATGCTGCTGATCCAGGGACCATACTTTGAGAATTGCTGCCTTGGGTGACTGGGATCCATAGAAAGTGTGAGAACAAAAGAATAAAATTATCATGACTATGTACAAAAAGGATGAGAGTCTGTAGAATGAAGCATCTATCTAGGAGGAAAGGGTCCAGAGGCAGCTAGGTATTTTGCATATTTCACATGTGAAATAATCAGAGCATAAGCTAGGATTGGAGGTGGGAAGTTTAGGGGGGCTTTTAAAATCAATTTTAGGGTTTAAGGGATTCGCCTAATAGCAATGAAGACAATAACCCGATCTTTGAAATTTTCTTAGGATAACCAATTCAGAAAATATAAAGTTGTTCAGTTAAGTTTGAATTTCAGATTAAAAAGGTATTTTGTTTTGGTTTTTGTTTTTTAGTCAAGTTTGCCCTTAAATCTGCATGGGACATACTTTTGCTAAAACATTATGTTTTTATGTAACTTGAAATTCAAATGTAATTGGCTATCCTTTATCTATCTGGCAATCTCACAGTAAACAGATTTATTTCACCCTTTTTGAAAGTATTTTTGTGGGCTTTCAAATTTTATTTCAGATTTTGATGAATGTCACTCTAATCCCTGTCGGAATGGAGCCACATGTGTTGACGGTTTCAATACATTTAGATGCCTCTGTCTTCCAAGCTACGTTGGTGCACTTTGTGAACAAGGTAAGAGCTATAACAGCATTTGTAAGATGAATGTTAATTGATGTTTTTCAAAATTTTGGCTTGACTGTATGTTTTTTCCCATGGAGCAAATTCATAGGTTACCCAAGTGTGTTARGTTTCCTCAAGTGTGAATAGCTCAGCCATAGTGCTGACTTCATTATGATTGATTTGTTGATAGAATGGAGTTGCAGATAGACTCACCAAGCTGAATTCAAGGACATCTAGTCACAAAAGGAGTATCATTATATATATTCTTCCTAGGGACAAACTAGACATTGACCTTAATGTGGCTTGTGTAACAAGGAGTGCTGGATTCAGTGTTGCCTTAATTTTTCTCCTAAGCACTTGAGACTCATGAACTTATTTTTCATAGTCAATCATATCTGGAGAACGCATTGATAAAGTTGTTAGAATGCATTGGCCTTAACTTGGCACATTCTATGTAAAAGATGCGAGTCTGCTCACCAGGAAATTTTCCTACTAAAGAAGCATCTGCTTTTTTTTTCTGAATGAAATAAAGGCCTAAAATCTCATGATCCCTGTAATTTCCATTTTAAGGCCAACCTAAGAGTATATTTTAGGTGGTTAATGGTAACATTTCTTAGCCCATCAATCAGAAACAGATTGCACGCTCAGCACACTCAGCTTTGGAATGTCGGTTTCCTCTTCTTAAAGTCATACAGTGGTTTGGCTTTGATAAAAGTGTGCAGTGCCAAACTTCCATTCCAACAGACAAAATGAAAAAGTATTAGACACTTAGACACATTGGTCTGGCCACACATTCTGCTTTGCAGAGTTAATTCAGACGTCACTATAATTAAAGCAAAGCTAAAATGCTGCACATACTGAATTACTGTTACAGGGGGCTGGGCAATGGCTAAGTTTAGTGGGGGGTTTCTTTTCTTAYTGCATATGGTGAGTATGTTTCATAATTTTAAACATGAAATTAGACTAAGCTAGATTCTCTTTAAAGTAAAAAAAAGCACAAAAGGGTGAGACACTTGGAGTGGTCAAATGTGTTAAAATGATCCTGGCTTCCCCTAATTTCAAGTACAGGAGAAATTTACAAATGGATTTGTTCAAAAAGTGTTTATTGAGTATCTACTCTTTTCCATACACTGGCCTGGCCACTGGAGATGGAGCTCTGAAAAACAATAGCAGGTTTTTTTAAAAAAAGGTCCCTGACTTTGGTGACTAACTTTCAGCAGAGATAGAAAAAAGCTAYTACTTGTTTTATAATTTTGTAGTTTACTAATTGCTTCCAGGTACGTTATTTCATTTGACTGACCCAACATTTCTATGCATTAAGTGTGTTAGAAACTGAAGATCAGAGAGAAGAGTTGTACCCAAGATTACATAGCTAATTTATAGCATGGGCAAAACAAACCCAGGTTAACTTTAAAGCCTGAGTTTTTCTCAGTACTTCTAAAGCAGTTCTAAGAGATAAATATCTTATTTTTGTAGCTGATGGATTGAGTGGCAATACATTCTTAGAAGGGATTTGGGGGCCAGTTTCCTCCCCCACTTTTTTTTATAAAGAAATTGAAAAAAAAAGTTTTAAGTTGTTTCTTCATTTCTGGGACCACCTAACTCTCAGGCATATTCTATTTTATCTTCAATCAAGTTTAACTTTTATTCACTCTACTTGCTGAGAAACATCTACCCCCGTCTGCTTACCCAGTGCAGCTGTGCTCCTGTGATTTATTGCCAGGACACTGAAGGACTTGTTGCTCTTCTTTTCAGGTTGCCTAAGAACAAATGTTTTCTTCATTAACAGCAGCATTGTTGTCTAAACAGTTTTCCATCCAAAGTTCCACGATGACTGTGTCATTATTTCTTCAGCTGACCTTTTCTCCGTGTTAGTAACTTAAGTCTCAGTAACTCTGAAGTAGGGGACATATTTTGGTGGAATCATAACAGATAGAAAATCTAGAAGTGCTCTGGGACTGTTAGAGAAACAGCTCTGCATGCATAGATTGCCCCAGTCCAGCCATGATGCAGTTTACCAGGATGGAGGGTCAGAGTGTTCCTAACTCCTTCACAGCCCTTTATCAGAGGTGTTGAAAACATTACCTGTACAGCATAAAAAATATTTTTAGGGGAGAAGATTAAGAGTAATAATTTCAGCTTCTGTGGTCAGGAACAGGAGTTTCACAACTGTAAATCTGGAATTGTAACCTATATGTGAGAGTGGTTTTAAAGCATAAGATGTCTTTTCTTGAAGCCAAATGATTTTTTAAAAAAAATATATCATTCCAAAATGTTGCCTTTTAGTAAATGAAATGCGATTCACATTACTCAGGTAAAGGTGGAAAAACAGGTAGACTAATCCTGATATTTTCTGTCAGAATAGAATTCTGGAAGATGCCTCTTGATATACAGTCCTTCATTACATATTTGTTGAATTCATGAATGATAAAAATTAAGTTGGTCTGTGTGGGTACTAGGCTTTAAAAAAATATAAAAAGCCATTCTGTTAAGTTATATTGTGTGTGTGTGTGTATACACACACACACATACACACACATTCATTAGAAAGCTATGGTTTAGACAGTAGAGATAAATTCTCTCACCTTGATTTTGACAGAAACTCATCTCCATATTTTTTAGAATTGTTTTCTCATAAGAATATACCTTGGGAAGGGCATTTGTCTTAGTTTTTATGGTGCTATAGCAGATAATACTGGGTACTTTATAAAGAAAAGATGTTACAACAAATCCCATTATTATGTACAACTATAATGCACCAGTAAAAATGTGGGGAAAAAAGGAAGAAACACCTGTGTATTTAGTTCCCAGTTTGGGGAGCTGAATGTCCAAGATAGAGTGACCCCATCTGTTTAGTTTCTAGTGAGAGCTTCTTGCTACATCACAACATGATGGAAAAGCAGAAAGGCAACTGGCCTCAGGTAGAAGGAAGAGATAACATGGTGAGACAGGAAGAAAGAGATGTTGGAGGGGCAAGGCTTATTCCTTTCATAACAACATACTCTAGTGAAAACTAATCTGCTCCTACTGGACTCAACTCATTCTATGAGACAGTGTGAATCCACCAGGAGGGTGCAGCCCCCAGGACCTAATTACCTTCCTCCAGGCCTCATCTCCTACATGTTCTACCACCTCTTCATGCTGCCTCACTGGAGACCAAACTTTCAGCACATGAACCTAGAGAAACAAACCATAGCAGCATTGTGTAACAATGACGTGGTCATGCATCTAAATTTTAGGGTCATTTTTTTTTTTTGTAAAAGAGAAAAAATGCTTAATGACAATCTATTTTAATAGTAAAAGACAAAAAGAAAAAAAGAAAACTGAAATCATTCAGGTTAACAGAGAAGAAAGAGTGCAGAGATTTCTTTTTCTCATGTATTGTTCGAGAAGTGATGACCCTCTAGAATTTTAAACTGTATGTCTTAAAATAAGTGAAAACTTCCCAGGTTCTGGAAAGCTAAGCTATTACAATATCACAGTAATGACTTTGGTAGTGAGAATATCCTAAAATGTTTTTCAACACTCCTCCTCTATAAAAGAACCCTGCCCCTGTGTGAAGATCTGCTTCCTCCCCTCCCCACCTCACCTCTGAATTCTTCCAAATGAATTTCCCCAAAATAAAACTATAATCCAAGTGACCAAAATTTGCTTTATTGTGTGGTGCTGAGTACACCAAACCATCTGACTTTGACCTTAGGTCTTTCCTGTGAGATTTGGTGATCTCAAAACAACACTTTAATAAACTCAAAACTTCCAGTACACATTATTCAAAACAATTAGTCAGCAAGTTGTAACTAAACAACGGGCCTGATAGACTAAACTAACATGAAGACTGCCCTCCAAGATAAGCCGCATCTGTTGCATGAACATGGTCTGAATCAATGAAGCCAGGAAAAAAATTAAAACTCTTAGAAAGGATACTTCCCCATGACCATGGGAAGAGGAGTAAATTGAGTGAGAATTGGAAGATGGCTTGAGTTTTTATTTGGCCCAACTCCACCATATGAAACATCATTCATTTAATCTAGTAGGCTTCTGTTTCCTTCATGGATTATTGGAATTAGGGAAGAAGGTATGCTTATAAAATAACCCAGGAGATTTTGTTAGCTTTTACATGTAACTGCTTCAGTATATTTGTGAGATATATTTTGTAAAAGTCAAAATTGTTTCTGTTGATATTTATTTAGTATGAAGAGTATGTGCACAGTTCTACTAGCATGAGTGCACAGTTCTACTAGCAAACCTACTCTTTTGAGAATATACATCAAAACTGGCAAAATAGAGAGGAAAGCTGAAGCTTCCTCATGGTGTAAACTTCAGATATGTTTGAAAAATATTTTCATCACACCATATTATCAGTTGCGGCAGGCTATTTATTTGAAAAAGAGAGAACACACATGTGTGCACACATATATGACATGGTGGGAAGGGAGTACTAAGTACTAAGTTAAAGAACTCAGGTATTTCATTTCTAATAAAAGTCTGATGCATTTGCTCTGKGAGTTCCCTGGTTTCCCGCTCTTTGGTGGAAGAGCACACACATTCAGGCTTTATCCCCAAAGCTGCCTAAACAAGATTGATTTTTCTTTTTGCAAATTCCATATGACAAGAGCCTTTTGGCCCCCAAGATACCTCTTTGGGTAGTGGGAAAGACTATTCCCAGAGCCTTGGAAGTTGTTATCCAAATAGAGCGTGCATAATCTTGTTACCCAAAATGCTTATCACTTGAATGATTCTCTTAGGAAAGTCCTGTGGGTAAGGAATTGTCTCCACTGCTTCCCGAGTAAGTCAGCAGACACTTGCAGCCTAGGAGGTTTTGGCTGGCTGCTCTTCCAGTTTTCTCCTCTGTTGAAACTGGCTCTAATCAAGGAAGTTGCAGTTAGATACTGCCTTTTTAGTCCAAAGATGTAAAACCACCCACTTTGCTAGGATCAGTTGGGCTTACTTTATAATGATTTCTTTGTCATCGTGACCAACTTCTATGAATCAGTTACTTCAGGGACATTGCATAGATATTGGCTTGGGTATCCTATCAACACTCTTACTGGGCAGCCAAGTTTGCATGACGTAGGTGAGTTTAATAAGCTCCTGCCTTGTTTCTCTTCAGACACTGAGACGTGTGACTAYGGCTGGCATAAATTCCAAGGGCAGTGCTACAAGTACTTCGCCCACCGACGCACGTGGGATGCGGCTGAAAGGGAGTGCCGTCTGCAGGGCGCCCATCTCACCAGCATCCTGTCTCATGAGGAACAAATGTTTGTGAATCGTATGTACCAGATAAACATGAGTTTTCTGAAATTTCACTCTTCTCACCATTTTCTTAGTTTTCTCCATATCCAGCTGAAAAGATGTACCTTCTTCAGTCTCGATTCAGTTTATTAAATTCCTCTGCTGTRAACTGCCTAATCTCACTTATATGACTCTTCCAGTTTGGGAAATATTCAGCTATCCTATGAGGAAGCCATTACTCAGCCTGCCAGAAGTTAATGGGTGAAACAGGCTGTAGGTAGAATCACAAGCAATTATTTTACAATAATTTTTTGATTCATAGAAATGGCTGTTTCTTGCAATTCATTATACTTCTCACCTTAGTTATTTTTATAGTCTCTATTTTGAATATTTGTATGTATTGCCTAAAGTTAAAGTTGCTTTCAATTGTTTTTGTCTTATTAGTTAAGATTGAATTATGAATAACAGCCTAATCCTACCCTTTGTGCATTTGATTCTCATCCAAGTTTCTAATTATTTTAGACCATAGAAAGTGAGCTATATATTAAGAACATGAATAGGTGGAGATTGAAAGCTCATGAAACCTAATACCAGAGCTGTTTAATAGCTTCTTARACTATAGCAGAAGAGGGCAACTAGATTTTATGTAGCAAATATATAGAACTATTTTTTTCTCATGAAGCACTSTTCAGTGCCCTATTGAACATGTTCCCATGATGTCTGCAATCTTTTTGAAGTTTGATTATTAATTTGTAGTCTGGATAGAGGTCCATTTAACTTCATTGAATTAGTGACTCATCTCATGGTAAAAGAAAATATTTTGAGGATAATTTTTGAGAAATATCTTAACTGTTAAAAATGCTTTGAGAAGAAACATGTGGCTTCCAAAGTGAGGGTAGAATGAATAATATCTGCTATGTTTTATTGGGCCACTGAATTTTTGCCAATTACCTAAATTAACAAAAATAAGTGGAAAATTTCAATCATGAGTAAGAATGGAAAAAGTATTTAATTATAGTAAATGGCTAGGGAAGTTATTGTCTGTGTCTGATATTTTAATGTCTCACAGTGTTTTCAAATTAGCTTTTTGGGTTTTTTTCTATGCACAACTAAATAAAATTACAGCAAGAAGATGCATGATTCAGTATGAAAATAATTTTCTTTGCTATATTTYTATCCATTTATGGGAAAGGTAGTGAGAATGTGTTGTTTCCCATGCCTTAGGTGTGGGCCATGATTATCAGTGGATAGGCCTCAACGATAAGATGTTTGAACACGACTTCCGTTGGACTGACGGCAGYGCACTGGTAAGATTCTAATGAGAAGAACACAATTCTAGAAGCTTGGTGCTGTGTGCTGGTTGCATGTGACAGAGGATGCATTAGATTGGAGACAAGTTCAGTGACTGACTCAAGGTCACTCAGAGACAGGGGAGAGTTACAAAAATGTTTCAAACTAATTGATCCAACATCCATCAGCATTGTCTCTGATGACTATGGCTCTCTTTAAAAGAGGATTATAACAAATTTTCATTGAAGGGAAAATTAGATAATCACCATGAGTTTGTGTTTCAGATGACTATCTTTTTTAGCTTCAGAGTAAAAAGGAAAAGAATAAAGACCTATTAAAATGCYGTTTACTCTTACATAATTGCAAAGGAAATTTGCTCTAAAACATGGCTCATTTTTATACAAGTAAATAGATTCCTTTAAGAAAATTGTTGATTTATGATATTGTGAATCCCCTTCCATTCAAACACTGCTAATTTTATATTGATTTTTTTTTCTACTGCTTAAAGAAAAAAGTGGCTTGGAAATGCTGGCCACAACTTTGAGTAAACTGCAGTAGGTTTTTAAATCAGAGACATGAAGCTGTGTTGAATCACTCCTGGTCAATATGGGCCTAATTCTCTAGAAACAGTTTGGGTGTGATTGGTACCTGGTGGTACTCAGTGCTCGCTGTTCACTAGAGTCACCAGGGGAGAATAATTAAAAAGTAGCATCTAGGCCTCAGACAAGATTTAGTTTAGCAAAACTTCCAGTAGCTCTATTTTCTACATGTTCCATGTTGACTTAAAATTCAGATAATGGGATCTACTAGCTTAGATGTCAATGTAAATCGAATTCTATATTTGATAAAAGAGTAAAAATTTAAAATAACGAAGTTCTCTTTGTGTATGAATTGCTTAGGTACTTAAATTTTATTCATACCTTCCACTCTTCTGGGTTTCGTGAGTTTGGCAATTCTACTACAAATGCCAGAGTAACATCTGTGTTTGGAAGTTTTACTCTGTTCAGGGAGCTTCTCTGTACTCTTATGTCCTGTTTGTATCTAGATGTGCACTGAGCTCAATTCTGTCACCTGTTTTGCAGGTAAAGGAAGGAAACTTCAGTCAGGTTGAGCTATATGCCCTGAGTCACAAGGCTATTAAGTGGTGAGGCTGGTGTGTGCACTCAGGCCTGACTCCAAAGCCACAATCTCCTCTGGCTGGTAGTTTTGAGTCACCTAACATAAAGCCTGGCTTGCTCTCTCTGCCATCACTCTGAATGTTAAATCAATACTACTTCTCCCTCAAGTTTATAAGTAGTTTTTTGGTTTAAAAAAAATAGGGAAACTGGCTTGTCTATAAAAGTGTTCCCTGAAAGTTATGGGAGCCACCATTGCAGGATCCATGTCTCCATTTCCCTCTAATTGTCCTAGCTAGAAGGTGTACCTGTATTGGTTGCATCTCTATGTTTTAATTTTCTGTACTTAAGGGATATAATAATGGTCACTTAGATTAATAGTGGTTGGTATTACATGAGTCCTGATATATTAATTTTTTATTGAAGACATCATTTAAATTTTATAATTTAATTTTATAAGTGAACATACAATGGGAAGCACTTTTTCTATACCTTAAAGATAATTAAAATTATTTTTGGAATTTTGTTAATATATATTATTTAGCACTGTCATTGAGCAAGTTTTCCTTCATTGAATATTTGTAGAATAAACTGGATTTGGTGGATAGATAGCCCAGTGGAAAGTGCAGCTCCTTGTGAATTTCCATTTCTATTACAGAAACTGGAATGTCCAAGGCTCAAGTGGCCAGTCCTGCTTGRTACTTACTTGTATCTTGCAGATCTGGCTGGGTTCCTGTATGTTGCAGCTTGAGCCTAGAATAACTGCATTTGGTCATTTAGAGTGTTTGAAAAGTCCATCCTTTACTACACACTGACCTGACTGAGCCAAGTCCTGGTTGTTTAATATCTACATTAGTTATTTAGAATGATTGTATGTTTTCATTCTTAGCATAGATTGTATTCCTAGATGTTTACTCTGGTCTCCCCATTAGCAGTTCATCTCTTCAAAGAAGTGGTTCTCTTCCCTGCCTTTTATTTCAGATGGTGTCTAGGATAAGGCCTCATCCCATAGCACAGTAAACTTAATGAGATGGAATATTGGCTACTATCTACAGCTATGTGGGTCTGTAGAATAACTAAGGGATGTTATCTTTCCTGCCAGGTCTGTACTAGTGAGCGTGACTCAATATGTTATTATTCCACATGCCACTGCAAGGTTACTCAACTATTTTTTTTTTCACCTGCGCCCATTAGGTTTCAATGCACACAAATACTGTGAAAAAATAAATTACCATTTCCATGGCCTAGATTGGCTCTGAATTTGGTAAATTAGTAAGCATCACACCTTGGAGAAAGAGAAATATTGATCTTCCTTGGGAATTTTCAAAGGAAGATAACATAGATGATGCTCTCATAGATAACCATACAATATAATGTAGAACCTTGCTCTTAATTATTTCATCCCTTTAACTGAGAACCAAGGATTAAGTGCATGCTAAGAAAAGCCCTAATTTGAAGAAGGCAGCAAACATCATAAACAAGCAAAGTTTATTCAAGAAATGACACAAGTACTTCCAGAAAAAAAYTCAGACCTTTGGTTTCTTCTTAATTCACTCTGTGTAAAATAAAAGTGTGCTAAGGAGTGTCCCTTAACTTTGAACATTTGGGAACAGAAAAGACCATCTGCCTAGCAGCCTCTCTCCCTCCCATTTGACTGATCTTGGGCCCACTTTCCTGCTTTTTGAATCCACCCTTTCCTCTGTCCCCCTTCCTTTCTGAGACAGCCTAGGTGTCTCTTAAACCCGTTTGTATTTCTTTCCACAATCACCATCCCCTTAACAGGTTCCATATGTGTGCTGGCCTTTGAGTAAAATAGTTCTCCTTTGTTTMGCTGTTTACTCCAAGTTTCTTGCTTTTGAAAATATCCCTAATAGCTCATCAGGTCTTCTCTGGGGTGAGCAGTATCTGCTTACACTTTGAAATGGTGTTAACTAGACTGAATGCAACATCTATGGACTTTGTTTATGTTTTAGAAAGATTCTTCTCCTCTTCTGTACCCTCTCTCTCTCTCTCCATTTTTTTGTTTGAAAGATTTATTAGACCTTATCCTTGTTGGGTGTTAAAACAGTGCTAAGACAAAAAGAGACTTTGGTATTTACTTTTTACTATCTTTTGGTGTTCCGTTATATGATTCAGGGAAAACAAACAAGTTTATATTAGATATTGGTTTCAATGATTTCTTTTATTAAAATAATTATATTCTACTTCCAATAAGCTTGTGGTATAATTATGTCATATTTAACATGATTATGCTTGATAGCTAGACTAATTCAATTCATGTTTATATTAAATTAGTGATATCGTTTGGCCAAATCATCTAAATTTTCTTTATTCTTCAGATTCTGATTGATTCATTCCATGTTATTGGCTTCTATAATATGATGTTGATATTATTGATAAAATACCAAATTTTTGTTTTCATTATATTTTAGGAACCACCTTCATTATTTACTTGAGGTATTTGCTAATAAATTTCACAAAGGGCTTGAACCTTGTGATTTTTGTTTAAGTTACTTTCTCTTTAACACATTGCAGTTTTCACTTTGTCACTTGGSTTTCCCCTAAGCAGTTATTCTTTAACTTGACTGTTGATCCCTAACAGTGAAACAAACCCAGTGCTTTACTAGAAACCTTTACAAAAAAAACTCCCATTATGCATTTCTTTCATTGGCACCCACATTATTTTCAAAGACGCTAAGTTGAACTGTCCTAGTTAAACACATCTTAAAGATGGAGAACTTTATCCAGCATCTATACTATTAGCTGACTTTGAAGTTGTTTCTTTGACCAGTTCTTAACTGAATGACTCATCTGAAGTGTTTCTCTCAGCTCTGCCTTCAGGTGCCAGTGAAGAACTCTCCCCTGGCTGTGAACTCTTCTTGCTCCCTCCTTATAATTCTTCTTTGTCTTCCCTTTGCTTTTGGTATAAAATTCTAATTATTAGCATGACAGACAGAACCCAGCAACTCTATTTGCCAGCTTCTAAGCTATAGCATCTMAAAACCATCAGTTTCTGGAGTAAGTCATGACCTCTCTTGTGGGGCTTTACACATACTACCCTGGTGCTGAGCCTGTTCTTACCCCCGGTTCTGATTTCATTTCAGAACATACAGAAGCCCTGTGCAGCCAAGAGTCTCCTTCCTCCCAGAGGCCTTCCTACCTGGCATGATCGGAGCTCCTCCTATGTGCTCCATGGCCCTGTCATTCTATTCCCATTGTAGCACAGAGCCCCATGGGATTAACTCCCTGACACTGACCCTTCTGAAGCAGGGGTTAACTTCCATCTCTATTTTTTCCAGAAAATAGTAGATAATTTGCATAGAATAGATACTTTATAAATATTTCTGAGTGAACACATGATAATCAAAAGGCATTCATTGCTCACTGTATCTTTTGAATCCTGAAATAATCACATTAAGTCTTGCAGATGAATCTCTTTGTGACAATTCTTGTTTATCCAAATTACAAACTCTACTTACAGTTGCACAAGTAAGTAAAACCTAATAGATTCTCAAAAATGACAAAAAGAAAAAAAATATATTCCTCAATAACAGAAGTTTATAGGTGAACATAATATCTTGCAACAGGTATTAATCCCAAAGGAAACAAATGTTTCTATTGGAAATGATAACAGTTGTGTCCATGACTRTCCCCTAGGAATACCTTTGTAAAGAACTTCAAAGGTTAAAGATGGAAAGTGTACTTTGGCTTCTGCCATTCCTATATGTCTGAGTGATATCAGGGCAAATTTTCTATGAATCTGTAAGAAAACAACAATTACTTAAAAATTTGAGARAAAAATTTTTCCCCCCTGAATTAGACACATATTTAATGTCTTTTCTGAAGAAAAACATGATTTAAAAAAAAATCTTTATCATTTATATCCAAATGTAGTGAAATAA